TCGCAATCAGCAGTTCAGAGAGGAGAGGGGGAGCACAGTGACGTAACGCTATGCTGCGCCTTGAAAATAAAAGCACGCTAGTAAAAAAATGTCAAAATCTAATATTTTGCGGTACAATTTTTTGGGGGGGACATATCCACCTGGCTTTTATATTGGGGGGGACATGTCCCCCCCGTCCCCCCCGCTTCCTACGCCGCTGGTAGGTGACCACATACAGTGCCGCAGACAGGAGGCCGGCTTGTTTTGTTTGAATGACCACAATTGCGGAAAATTACTCGTGAAGATGGACCAGCTAGAAGAGCGAGGTACTCAAGAACGCTGACACCCTTTTTCCACCTGGATTCCCGCTCTTTTTCACCCTCATGTCCCTTCGTTGTCGGACAATCTTGCCCCCACTTCCTCATTGCCTCGGCCGTATCTAGACCCACAGCTAGTTCCTGATTGTCTTACGTTGTGGCACAGACCACGCTTCAAAATTGAGCATAAATCTGCTGCAGGGAGTATAACCAGCCCTAAAGTGTGACCCACTGGAAGAACTGCGGTGAACTGGTAAAAGAGAAGTGAAATGGGATGTTCAAAGATGATGAGGATGTTTGGCTCAACCTGCTGCTGTGAAGCAGGATTCTGCACCATGAACAGAATCAAAAATAAATATGGATCCAGGCTCAAAATGAGCACCATGATATGTGCTTTAGAACGGCTTAGTCTCCATTCAAACCAGGTTTAAAGCCTTGCAGACCAGCCTAAAGCCCACTGTGAACATTGAGACAGAAAAAATAACAAACGGTCAGTTCAGGTGTTTGATAAAATATGGGAATCAGGAAATTGTCTATATAGCAAACTGAACGATTGTTGTTCTCTACTTCAAAAAACACTTTATATTTTAAAATGGAAAAATCTTTTTTTATTTTTTATTTTAAAAGTCAATGTATAACATGAATACATAAAAACCTGCATGTTATTTCAGTGGTTTTTCTTCTTTCTCCTTATTCTGTTTATCATAACGGATTACAACAAAAAATGTCTCCGGACCTTTACTGCTTGTTGATTTTCTTTATTCGGAACCCGCTGATTTTTAATTGGTTAAGGTTTTCACATCACTGTTGAAGCTCTGCCTCCTCTGACACACAAGACATGGGGAACAACTTCCTGTTCTAGTTAGCACAACAGTTCAAGCTCTGATTGGATGGTTTGTAAACAATGTTATGCCACAGGACTTTTACTGGATTTAGGTCTTGGTTACCCCTGCTGTAAACCATACCATTTTAATAGATAAAACAATTATTTCACCCCAGTCCTTTATATCCAGTGGGACTAGGAGTTAATAGCCTGGGATCCAGGCCCTGCTTCAGGCTTTTCTGGTAGCAACAACATATCTCAGGCCTTTCCTTTTATAAATAATAATTTCTGTGAAAGCAGGAGTCGCCTTTCTTTATTAATGTGGCTCTGCCTCCTATGGCTTTATAAAACCCAACAAGGCTTTCATTTGGCTGCAGAAACATGTAAAGAGCTTTGGGTTTGTCTGAGCGTCCATCCTAACAAAGGCTCCTCTGTTTGGACACAGAGAGACGAGAAGGATGGGACTTCACATAATCGTCCATCAGATAAATTAGAGACTTTCGTCCTAAAGACATCTCCGTTCTTAAAGCCTTATTGGAAAACACACACACAGAGACACACACGGGTACAGTTTCAGTATAATTACTGTGTATAATCAGGCTGAGAGAACCACACTGTCTGCTCCATAGGTTATCATGGGTGTGTGAGTTTGGGACAATCTTTTCCAGTGAGTTTAAAGGATGAAAGTGCATAAACTGAAATGTAAGGCCCCCGATATTCCTATACAATGTGGTGCATTCACAACCAAAGCATTTCCAGTGTTCACCAAACGCACGTTCAGCAGCCCTGCGCTGCAAAGCCGTGTGGCGGATGCGTCCGGCGACGTTTGTGATGGATTTGCATTGTGTCCCTACCCTCAATGGTAAAGTCAGTAATGATTCATATTTTTTATTTCAACCGTTGCGTATATTAGCTGCGACGTACGAATCAAGATGCTATGACCCGAAAAAATCTGATTGACAGATGACCACTGATATAGGATTGGCCGAATTTAAGTGTTCAAGCTGACGTATAACTAACTGACCAGCATAAAAACACAGATTTTAAGACAGGATTTTTTTTTTAAATCGAAATGTTCAAAATTTTGGGACAATATCGTCTGATTAAGGGTTTATTTATATACATGTTTAAGCCAGAATGATTTGAGATTTAAATATGACTTCCCTACGACTTTAATATAAATCTGGCCACTCTGAAAACTGCCATTCATGCTTAAAAAAAAACTATTCTGCAAAGAAGAGTTAGAGAAAAAAGCCTCATTTCTAGTTACTGCCAAGTTTGTTTGGATTGTTTTTCTCTTAGTCAATAAAATCCTTTTTAAATTTGAAATGCTTCTATGTTATTTACCTATTCTTGTCTGATATTACTGTGAAAAAGCAGGAGCGTAAAATGGTTAACATGGTGTTGGAAAATAAAGAGTTTCCAGTCTTTTTATCAAATAAACATGGAGGATAAATTACAAATCTGTTATTAAAGGAAACAAATATTGTTGCATCGAAGCAGAACTAAAACCTTCGTAAAGGAACAAAGCCAAACATGTCTTACAGTGACTGAAGGTTGTGAAGGTTGTTAAAGGCTTCAGCAGGAACAGAAGTCAGCTGGTTGTTCTGCAGCATACTGTAAAAACAAAAACATTAAAAATTTAGTAAAGAAACAGAAAAGAAAGCTGCATAGCAGTTAATTTTCAGCGTGAAAAGAAAAATGAATGAATCTGAACTCAAATCTTGTAGGAATTATCCTTTTGAAAACCTCCACAGTGATAAGAAGTGTTGGATTATAAACATCTGAGAACTTACAGCACTTTTAGGTTGTAGAGGCCGTTGAACGCTCCTTTGGGGATGAAGGACAGATCGTTTCCTGCTAAACGTCTGAGAGACAGAGACAAGAACGAGAAAAGTTCTGATTTATTAAGAAAGGTCTTCCTCTGTGCCATAGGGACTCAAGTAAGAGGAGCAAAGGAGTAGATTTATAATGTTGTCTTTATTAGAAAACAACAGTGCAAACATTAATGATCCTGACAATCACTGCCCTGATTTTTACTTCATAAACATTGCTGATAAGTCCTTCATAAAACATTAATAAAATTCTCTCTTCCTCAATCCACTCGTCCATTTAAGACCAAGAAACTTTTATTACACATAAAAAAAAAAACAAATCACATCCTTTTCAGGAACAATAAAAAAAATTTAAGTGCATTATATTTTTTCTTTTTCCACATTTTAACCATCAATGTCCTTCAATGATAATTAACTAAACCACAAAAATGTTGACTTTTTTGTTTTTCTTTTTAGGGAAAATATTGACATTTTAATGTTAAAGCGTCTGATTTCTGCCCCCTATGGATTAAAATATGGGTACTGCAGTTTAATTTTCCTATTGGTCAGAACTGCACAGCTGTCGTCAACATCACAGCCCACGGTTCATCTGTAACGATGCGTCCCATTTACCTCCGAACTGGGAAATGAAGTAATCTCCAAGGTGATGGTATCATTTTCTGCTCATGGACCCTTTTCTTCATGTTTTATATTTGGACACTGTGGCCGCTGTTCCAACCATAGTAAGGAAAGAAACTATGATTTAATGTGGTTCTCAGACGGTTAAATGCAATGGAAGGCATCATGAAACGGTTTCACAGACAGAACTTTTTAAAGGATTCCTTAACCTTGTAATAAGGTATGATTTTTTTAGGACTTTTCCTAAAGGTAGCACTATATCTCTAGAGAAAGTAACTAAAGACATTTATCCAACTTAAGCTACCCTATGGCTATTTGTGGACATTGATCCTAATTTCAAATCCTGCAAATCCGTAATGATGCGTTCACAGTAAACCCATTTTGAGCATCAGGCCCTCTGGTTTTACATGCAAAGCCTTTTTGACTTTCAAAACACACTTGTGAATGCACCATTTGCACACTTAAGTGGAAATGTGTCAGTGGTCACCATGATAAGTGCTGTCTGAATACAGCAAGCAGTTAGGAGGGATGTAGAAGGAGGAAGCAGGATGCCTTCTATCATAGTTCCTTAAGCTGGGTATACACTGTACGATTTGCTGGCCTTTTCTGATCAGGAATCGTGAGGTCGGGAGGTTTGAAATTCAGTCGGCCATTAGGGCAAATCGCTCAGTGCACAAACAATGATTCTTCTTCTTCTTCCTCTCAGATGAAAACACAGAAGCATGGCGGGAGTGCAAGTGAAATGGATTTTTTTCTGTAAAACTGACAGACCGTAGTAGCCACGTCTGCTCAGCCATGTCTTTGTTCAAATATGTCGTCATCTTTTCTTTTTAGGGCTTTCAGCACAAAGTTGCACAAATTACCAAGGCAGTTTATCTCTAATGAGCTTCATTTTCCTCTTCTACTCATTTCGAGTAGCGCCATCTCACTGCGGAGCTGAGTCCGATATGGTTTTTATATGTACAGTGTGGGCAGGAGCGTCGGGACGCAGAGTGTGAGAACAACCATCGTGAGCTGTGAACTCTCACTGTACGACGAAACTTGTTGTACAGTGGGAGCTGTAGGTGCGTGCAACAATTAAAAAAAATCAAATAAAAATCACACAGTGTATGCCCGGCCTCATGACGTTTCTATCTGCTATCAATACATGCAATCCTTTACTTGAGAGGATGTCTAAGCACAGCTCCTCTTACAGAGTTTAACAAAAATACATAATTTGTTATGATTATCATGTAGGAGACAAGCCAATGGACACATTAGCACCAATACATTTGTAGTTCTTTTTTTTTTTTTAAGGTTGTTGTTGTCATGATCTTGGTTTGATGACTGGCTTGATTGCTCACTCATCCTGCCTAGCTCCGCCCAGTTTCTCATTACCACACATTATATCCACCTGTTCCAGCTCCTACTTAAACTGCTTGATCCCAGTCATCAGTGCCAGATTATTCTTTAGCATTTGGTGTTAGAGTTTTCTAGCGTAACTGATTGTGTTCAGATTGTTTGATCCTGACCAGTTTTGCTTTTGGACCTTCGAGCCCGTCTGTCCCTGTTCTGATCTGTTTGCCCAACCTGTCTTCGGGCTGCTGCCAGATTCTTCTTCTGGACTGAACCTGGATCTGCCTGACTTCGACATGGATTATCCTGCCTTTCTTCGTCTGCTTGGATCTCACCTCCTGCCAGTTCTGCAGCCTTGAAGGTTTCATCATCTGGACCTCTTTGGCAGCGTCCACTGCGGCTAGAATCAACCTTCTTCTCTGGGCACGGACTAAACTGTCAAACCAGGTTAGTGACTCACGTGTTCATAACCATTCTCCATCAGATTATTTTGGTGTTTCTCTCCTGCAGAGGTTTCTGCTTTAGACGCCCTAGTTGCTGCTACTGTAGATCCGGTTTTAAATAAACACTTTTCGAATAATCCCACTGTCTGTTTTGCCTTGATTCCTGGATCCTCTGTTCTGAGCCTTAACAGTTGTAATCTGAAATAATGAAATATTGCTAAAGGCTGCTTTAACATGGTGACACAGGAAAATAAGCTGGTTGGTGGAGGCCTGCCCTTTCTCAGTTCCAATTTTTCAGATTTTCTGACCTGCCTATGAGAAAGTAATAATTTAATTGTGAAGGCAACTATGACACTGGATTTATTTTAGGGCTATCGGAGTAAAGGGATAAGATTTCTAAGTGTTGTAAAACCAGGTTTCTTCTTTTTCCTTATACAAATATGACAGAAAAAACCAAGCAAAAAATGGTGATAAAACGTGGACGAGTTCTGAATGCATGAATACTTTTATAAGGGACCTCATCCTGAGGAGCTCTGAATTCAGGCCAGGTTTTAATTTCTGTGTTTGCAAGAATCTTCCAGTAAGCCTGGACTTCCAAAGCGGAGTAAAAACAGCGAGGGATAATGAATCCTGCAGGTCTGTTTGTTTTTCAGAGGCCATGCAGAGTTCAGCCTCTCGGAGTGCCTGCGGTGTCCTATCGCCGTAGTGACGTTTCTCATGCCGCCGTGACAAATATCACACACACACAGCTGGCAGCAGAGCAGAACATCGGCCAGAGTCATGTTCAGGTCTCAGTGAGGTCAGCCCGTCTCTCCCAGCTGCCTCGATGGTTTTTAATTTAGTACGGCCCGGCTTTGGGAAAACGCTCATACTTGACACGATGCTGCTGGGAGGTGAGGAGAGATGAGATTACACATCGCATCCTTAAAGATATCTGATCTGCTTGCCCGCTCAGACACCCAAACTTCAGACCTCCGATGGTCACTGACCACAGATCAGATGCATTATCTACCTTTACTCATCCTCAGATATTACACCTAATATGCTCTGCATCTCCTTTCTGCATGACCAGGTGGATGTTTATGGATCACTGCAGCCATTAAAGAAGGTGATTGACTGATATAAACCAATAAGACCAAACAAGGGAGAACCGATGATTTACATTTAGAAAAATCACTTGAAGTAGAAAAAAAATAAATGTTGATAATGATAAAAAATATATTAGAAGAGCTACCACATGGCAACATGGGAAATAAAAAGAAAACAGATTAGAAATTTTAAAAAGGCTTCAAATAATAAGTAGAAAACATGAATATTAAGAGTGATCAATATTGTGAATAATATTGCACAATTTATGATGTGTTTATTTCCTTTATAATTATTGAATAAATTATTTAATAATATATATTCAGTTCCTAAAGTACCACTGCATGAGCTCCTCAGCAGACACTGAGTGCTGCAGAAGCCTGTTAATCATTCCTTCATGTTAGTCAGGTGAGAAGCGAGGAGACGGCTAAAACTTGCAGGACAGTGGTACCCGAGGAACTGGCAAAAAACATGCTATAAAACAATTCAAAACATTAGAAATAGATCGACAAAAAAAAGAAAATTAGTCTAAAGATAAATGCATGAAAATGAATTCCAATTAGACACTTAGAGGCATGTAAAATATGGAAACATTAATAAAATAAAAATCTTCTAAATAGAAAGGTTAAACAACCTTAGCCTTTCACAGCATTATAAGACATAAGTGATCATTTAACTTCAGGTAAAGTGAGGAAAACCAACCTCAAACAACACGGAAAGTAACAGTTATTTAGAAATCACACTTAAACATAAAAAATGTTTTAAAAAAAATGAAAAAAAACGGTGGAAAGATGGAGTCTGACCTCTAACAATCCTCATAATGCTCAGCTCTATGTTTTGGGAAAAACTAAACCCTTTATATCAGCTGGCATGGAGGAGGAGGGGTGATGATCTGGGCTTGATTTGTAGTTTCTCCTTTGGTTCAAACTGGGTCATCAGCAGAACAGCAGTAAATATACAACGGAATAACTGAAAATGAAAAGAATCAAGCTTGTCCAGTTAAAGTCTGGACCTCGAATGAATGGTTAGGGAGAAGAAAGCCAAAAACGTCTGCAAACCTCAAAGAACTGCAGCAAGTCAGACAAGTTTCCTCCTAATAGATGCAAGAAAAACAAAACAAAAAAAGTCCTAGACTTGTGGCTGCAGGAGGTGCTTCTCTATGCAGTAATGTCGGGAGATGAGGATTTTTATTTACCAAAAACCAGAAACCCTGACAATAAAAACAACAGCTGCAGGCCAATCAAAGCTCTGAAAAATTATTTCAAACACAAAAACTTGAAGAGGTATAAACTTCAATGAAAATCTAATAATTGACACAACATAGTTCAAATACCCATAGAAGACCTGCTTATATTTCACTGCTGAGATCACATATTAAGTTTCATGTGAGGTAAGATCATTTTTGCGGATGATGAACATAAGATAAAGTGACTCACAGCTCCTCCAGAAAGTGCAGGTTGGATAGAGCTCCACTGGACACCACAGTCAGGTTATTCATGCTGAGATCTCTGCAGACACAACAGATAAAAAGAAAGCACCTTTCAGCTATTTTTATTCCCACCTAATCAAGCTTTTTTAAATACAGGATCTGCATTCATAAAGTCATAAAATGACATTAAAAAGAGAATTTTAGGTTCAAATAATGCAGCAGCATAAAACAACATCTGAACACAAACAAAAACATACATCAGGAGTAAAAACAGGACCAACGACTCATGAATTATTAAAGCCGGCTCCTTAGAAACACTGAGGCCATTCAGCCAGCTTCACGTGCAAAAACATTTGGTCCCACAACCCAGACCTCCGGTAACTTTTTCCATCTCTGTGAGGACCGTCGAGCGGGCTTTGAGCCAAAATCAGAAACTGGATGAAGAAAAAAAAAAAAAAAACGGGGAGGAAAATCTACAGCTCCTTCAAAGAGTCGACAAACACCTGAGTGAGAAACAAGACGGGAGCAGAAATGACTGGAAATGGAGAGAAAACAGGAAAAGCGGGAAGGAGAGCCGGAATGAATGAATGTGGGAGGTTTCTGCAGTTTATCCTCAGAAAACCAGGATTTAAAAAATTATTCTGTCTTTAACGGGAAACAATTACCGTAGCGACCATTTTTAGGCCCATTTGTTTCCTAGAAGTAAAACCATTAAACCTGTTTTTCTATCATTTTCAAAACATTAGCATTGAGCATCTGTTGCTGCCTTAGTACTGATGAAACATCCCGTTGCTTCTATGTGCAAAGCTTTGTCACCTTAAATTAAAAATCTTCTAACATGAAAATAACTTTATTTTGACCTGATTTCATGACAGTCGCAGAACCGTGAAAAAAAAAAAAAGGAAAATCACAGAAATGCTTGGATATGATGGGTTCTTGTTTTAAAAATCTCAAAATTAAATCACTGCTCTGCATCAACGGATCCACAATTAGTTGTAACAACAGAATATTTTCTATGTAAATACAAAGCAGTAAAATTACTGTAAGATTTTTAAATTTTATCCATGTAAATAAAATACTGTGACATGTAGGGTGACCAATTGCACTATACAATAAATAGTGATTTAAATTATGCCATTGATTTATTACAGGTGGAAATAAATAAAGAATTTATCCAATATCAATTTTTTGAGCCTCAGTGTAAGTATTAATGACAGTTTAAGAGGTAAATATCATAATTTCATGATATAATAAATTCAGTTATGTTCCTGAAATCAAGCAAACCATGAAATATGTTAAATTGTCAAGCACCTATCAAAGCCAAGAAGGCGGGACTAGGACTGCTTCCACTGAAACCCTAACATCTGATTGGCTGCTTCTCACTGAGCAAAATAGTTGAAGTAATTACTGCTGAAAAAAGCATAAATAAATAAAAAAAATAAATAGCCAGTGTGTGTGTTGTGAAATCATTTCATTCCTAAAGTGTTTGACTGATTGTATCGTATAATGATGTTAAATCACCTTTTTAATTTAGTCAATGTTTCTTGGTCCAAAAACATTAGACTCAATGGGTTTAATAAGAACTCTGCACTCTGACAAAGGGGACATGTCCCCTGGACTTTTTACTGTCCAAAACCAATTTCACGTTACAGTACACATGTTTTTTAAGATAACTTAAACAATCCAGATTCTTGTAGAAAAACGTGGGTCTCAAAAGACAATAGTTGGTGAGGGAGTCTGCTGTAAATTAGGTAAATGAGTCTGCATTTATCTCTTGGGTCACGTAATCTAAAACGGTTGTAATCAGTAGAGGGCGCTAAGGCACCCCAATTACCCTAACTAAGACATAAAAAAAGAAAAAAACAAGATTTTATTTTATTTTCCAATTTGAAATATATGAGTATATATTTTTTAGATTTGCAAGATAAATATTTAATCTTTAAGTAAAGCGTTTAGTAAAGTGTCCTTCCTTTTTTCGTCAGATTGCTGACATATTTTCGGCCTAAGGCGCAAAAATCTTTGCCCATTGACTCCCGTCGTACATGCGCAGTAGCTCCTCTGCAATACAAAGGTATAGGAGAGCTCGGGGTGCAGGAGAGCTGCGACCTGAGGTAACAGGAAGTGTTTTTGCTCACCACCTTCCGCCACAGCGCAGACTTTTTGTAGGTGATTGACAGGTTAAGTCGGTGGAGTTGGAGACATATTGGAGAGAGAGAGAGAAAAATGGTGCAAGAAACGTCCCTTTCCAGGACCCGGTTTAGCAAGAAGGCTTGGCTATCTGCATGCAGCGAGGCTAAAGCTTTATCCTACTTTCCCTGCCTCCTTTTTAAAATACCAGGATCTGACCCAGCATGGATAAAGACAGGTAGGACTGATTTAAAACACTTTCTAGAAAAGGCAAAGAAGAAACAATCTGGGATTCACATGGAAAATAATATAATTTAGTGTACTTTTTCTAGATGTTTTTTTAGTTTGCATAGTTGCTCTCAAATAAACATATTCTCAGAAAATAAATAGTTTTTATATATAAAAAAATATAAATCTGACAAATAGCTTCTCCATTATTAAACTGGCACATTCTTTTTTTGGTTCTTGGAATAATATTGGACCATGCAAAACACAGATTTACCCTCACAAAGCCTCATAAGGCCAAGATTTATGTACAAAAAGTACATAAAAGTACATGAATTCTGTTTTGTTTTTATAAATGTTTTTTATAATGTTTGTTTGTATTGGTATTCATATAAATATACTGGTGTGGTAACTTAGTATATG